ACAAATTTTTTTTTTCCCTTTTTATATTGGGAAAGTGGTGGGATTTACTTAAGAGGCGGAAAGGAGAAAAAATGATCTAAACTCATAAGTTCTAATTTCTCGAGTCTTAACTTACCCAAACAAAATTTTGAATAATAATGAGCAATGATTAATTTAAAGGATTTTTAAGAAAATAGCAAGTGTATTACCAAATTGCTAATCTACCTTGTATATAAGAAGGAAATGAGGTTTAGTTCTTTGCCTCCCTTGTTGCCACTTGGCTTTCCAATAATTTGACAAATGGCATAAATCTAATATTTTTCTTGCATATGATTTTCTTGCCTCTTGCATATCCCCCTTTTTTTTTTTTTTGCTTTTTTTTTTCATGCCAAACTAAGCAAGTTTGACTCCTTTATTCTCCTTTTGAGCCCAACGAATTTTTTTAACCTTAATGATTTGACTAAGCGAGTCTATTGTTTAATTCATCACCGTTATATTAGTTTTAATACAATAACACTATATTACAACCCTTGGATTAATTTTCATTCGTTCTAATTGTCTACCTATTATATAAGAGACATGCGAATTTAATGTAGCACTCTCATTTATTGACATGCGATGTAACTCTCCTTTGAGGAATCTATGAATTTTCTCTCATATTTTATTTCTCTACTTCTATCTTGATGGAGTAAGACAAAAGATATACCATACAGGATAAGACAAAATATTTCAATTGCAAGTCATGTTGCATAACTACAATAACTTCTAGTGTTTTTATATATTGTCTAATTCATGACTATAAGATCAACCTTTATAGATTAATGAAAAAAATTTTAATCCTTGGATATTGATTAATTATGTTTGATCAGTAGCTAACCAACTATTACATTTAAACACCTCTTTTATGTAATCGATTAAAGTCTTTTTTTCTATTTCTTTATAAATTGTTTCTCAATGTTGCATAGAAAAAATCAGATTTCTTCCTTCCCAATTGTATTCAACTATGCACTTGTTCATTAATTTCAAGATTAATGATGGATTTAATAGATGCTATGTTTATTGTCTCCTTGATTTAGAAGAGTTGACTTCATAGATGGAATTTCTTATGATACTCAAATTTTCTCGTGTTTTTGTCTATTATGTACCAAAAAATTTTGCTGTTATATATTCAATTAAGTTATTAGGGGGCCTAAGCTGTGCCTTGCACAGTCGAGGTACCTCTAGTATTGCTCATATAAAGGGTCTCGTATTGATGTTATTTAGCATCATCAATGGCGACAATCATGCAACACTTCTTTACGTAATCAAGCACTCCCTTGAAGTCTATGAAATACGATCTAGCAATTCATGTAAGGTCTTCATCTCTGACCAAATTCCTAATCTAGATTATGAACATGAAAGGTTATCAACTAAGTTTTTATTTTTATATTTTAAGGAAGGACCTCCTTAGTTATTACTACTTTTTTTCCCCGGTTGAGATCTGTAAATGAAGTTTTTACAACAATAATATTGCCGTTGGAGGTCAAATAAGTTAGATTTATGAAATTAAGGGTGTGTATGATAAAACTGAAATCTAAAAACTGAATTATGAAATATGAAATCTAAATGCATTAAGTTATTGAATTGTTAAATATTAAATCTAATACATGTGAGTGCATACCACATTCAGCGATAAATGAATAATTTATCACTTAATTTTAGACGTAAGTTTTGCGTAAAAAAATTCAGTGTCATTTAATTAATTCAAATATTTAATTTTTTATTATCAAACGGTCTAAATATGTTAAAATTCGAATCCATTAAATTAAGATGTTGTACTGAATTATCAAGCAGGGCCTAATACTATCATCAACAATCACCAAATAAAAGATAGAGCATCCTTTTCTTGCTGAATGTCAGCTTCGTCTTCCAAGTGGTAAAACCAGCAAATGTAGGGAATGGTGTTGGTATTTATTTTTATCTACTGAGTTAATATTTTGTATATTATTAATGGTACAGATAAATGGATCTTGATGCATGTTACACAATTTAGATTTGAATTTGAAATATTACATCATATGATATGCATCGAGACCCACTAACGCATCTATTAACGATGTATAAAAATCAAATCCCTATTTATTTGGCAATGCAACAAGAGATAAGGAATACCCAACTATGGAATTCATTATCAAATTCTCATTTCCTTCCCGTATTTTTTTCCTATCAAATGCATCATTCCTACGGTAGTCTCAATGGGAATATCCATTCCTTTCTTGTCTAAAATCTTAATATAATGGTTCACTTCCCATTTTCTCCATTCTATTGCAGGTAATTCCTTTCCATCCCTCAATTCTGGAGAATCTAAAAAAGGAAGTTTGCAAAAATACGCTACATATTGACACCGCACCCTCTGACATGCACCCGGAACTTATTATTATTATTATTTTTTCTTTCTTCTTATTGACCCGGAAAGATAGTACTGCCCTCTTGTTTTGTTCTCTAGCTAAGATTATGATAATCTGTTCAGCCTTGTCTCCAGTTTGGAGCTAGCTTTGATCTGACGCGTATGATATGCTCATTGGACCACCAGAAATATTAAAAAGAAAAACAAGCTTGTGGGCAAAACCGAGGGACGCGTGGAAATGCGGCGATGCGCGGCCAAGGCGAAGCGACATAAATAATCTTTGGAAAAGGAGATGGACGGAGTAGTGGTCGAACCAGATATTTTTATGCGGAAAATGTGGACCTTTTTTTTTTTTTTTTTTTTGAAGAAAATTTGAATATTAGATGACTTGGATATAACGTGGATGGATAAGTATCAATGTCGAGTTTGGTGTTTGTTGGCGTTCCAACTTTCTATTTATGTCTTTGCTTCCAGAAAAAAAAAATTTCTATTTATAATTTTATGCTTTTTCTTAATGAATGTGGACGGATTTAAACACGCAATCTATTATTTACGCTCATTCTTTTAAACCATTTGATCCATCCCTACCTGATTTATTATTTCGTGCTCATATCTGCTTTGTATAATCATTTCCTTTTTAAAAATTTTCTACGCATGCTTGGATACTCTTAATTATGTATTTAGCAAGAAACTATAATTGGTTGCCATGAAGTCCTTGGGTTGGATTGATCGACGCATACATATTTCGGAGTATGCAATGGAAATCAGTGCCCAAAAATACAGGTCTTGCTTTGATTATTCTTCATTAAACAATTATGATTAGGTTACTTTTTCTATACATTAATAACTTATATATATTATAATTCGAAAGTATATCATAATTTAAATTTAAAAATCATATTTTACACGTGCGACACACGCATTAAAATTTATCTATGCATATACTATCGATACATAGAATATTAATTCAAAAAATTTAATCTATCCGTCCTTACCAATATCAAATGTTTCTCGACCAAAACATTTCACCTCTTTCAAGTTTCATCCACATTGCACAATTTCGTCACAATACAGTAACGTAGTGAATGCACACACATCTACAGCTAATTTAAATTTCAATGCACAATTAATATCCACAATCATTTACAACATCTTACCATTACAATTTGTGTCCCTTGAGTACGTTTTATTACCTTTAGCAACTTGCTTGTCTAAGCACATGAAATCATGCATCTCTGCCAATGTGTTAATGTTGCACTTTTCCACCACAGCAATGCCGCGCCCGCCGCCGCCACCACCACTTGCAAAATGTCGCCTGGACGTGACGTGGATTTAACTTCCTCGGATAATTCGGGAAACACCATAGTACCCACACCAGATCGATAGATTTTTAACCATCAACCTGAGGCTGATGTCCACCACAAAGCCTTTAAGGCTTTGGTGGGGTGGGAGGATTATTTTTCTCCCACCAATTTGTTACAATTGTGATTTTTTAAAAAATTCAGACGGGTGCGTGATCTGTTCCCATCGATTTCTTCTTAGATCCGGTTGGATCTTTCCGTAATTAGATTAGAATAGAGTAGCAATAGAAGTAGGGTTGACTATTGACAGAAAAAAAAAAAAAGATCGATAGATTTTTAGTTTCTCGCCATGTAACGATTTAATAACACGTGCTCGCCCAGCTTCCATATCCTTCTCTTTAAAAAAAAAAATTATTTTTCAAGGTGTGAAATTTGGTTACAGTAGCATTCTTGCATTTGTTGTAAATTCCATTTATTGTTGCATATGACAGTGGACTGGAAATTAAAGTATTAGAGTAGAAGATTTCACTAAAATTTGTTCCCTCTTTAAGACAAAAGGGTAAAAAAATTCGTTTAGATTAGTTGTTTTTTAAGATATTTTAAAAAAATTTTACTGTAGTAAAATTTTAATAATATATTTTAAAAAATATTTAAAAATAAAAGAATTTTAAAAATATATTTCAAGATATTTAAAGAATAGAAAGTTTGGAAACCAAGTCTCAGCTAAAAATCGCGTCTGCAATGCATATAGATATAATAGATTTACCTCAAGAATTAACCTTTTGGGTAGGGAGAATTGATTTTGATCACGACACATCCAAGATGAACCCCTTGACGAAACAGACTAGCAATGAATAGCCACCCTCAGTTCTTTTCATCCACATTCTGGCTGATGATTGAATAGCGTCAAAAACGCTGTCATATAACTGAGAAATTTTTTGATAGAATATAATATATATGCATATGTATATTTTGCAACTTGTGAACTCAAAACCGTCTCTCTCCCCTACGGTCCCTTCTTGATTGAGAGTGTCCTACACATAATTCATGCTTGAACAATGAGTGATGGGCATCTCCTAATCCTTTTTGTTCATTCGTATGAATACTTCTCCTTTGATATTTTCATGTAGAGACAACTCCGTCAAAGGCATCTTGTAAACTGTTCCTAGTAAGACCACCGAACTCTCACAAATTGGTAGTATTATATGCTTTGGATTCGCCCTTTTGTCCGTTATGCTTTTCTTCAACTAGAGTACACAGAATTCATGCATCAGCAAGCTCTCTTTTGGTATAAAGTTGCGATATTTGTGTTTACTATGTTCTCTTTTGATGGATTCTCCGCTGCTTGATATTTTTCTCTGGTATGGTATTACTTTGATGGGTTGAAGTTGAAATTTTGAATTTAGGCAGAAACAGCTGCAAGTGAAACTACCACATGGGATTTTGCTTGTTATTTGATTGTAAAGGTACAGTGTTTGAGGGGAAATTTGTTGTAGTTCGATTGATATGGAACCACAACTGGGATTGATTGAACAATCTTTTCATGTTAGATACTCAGATGGGGTTAGAGAAGCACTTGATGAATTGGGTGATAGTTTCCTTATAACTGATCCTTCCATTTCTGGGCACCCAATTGTGTTTGCTTCAAGTGCTTTTCTGAAAATATTTGGTTATTCTAAAGACCAGGTGATTGGGAAGAATGGAAGAATGTTTCAGGGGCCTAAAACTAATCGAAGATCTGTTCTGGAAATTCGTGAGGCAATTAGGCAAGAGAAGGCTATACAGATTAGTTTGTTGAATTATAGGAAAGATGGGACTCCATTTTGGATGTTGTTTCATATGTGTCCTGTTTTTGCTAAGGAGGATGGAAGGGTGGTTCACTTTCTGGGAGTTCAAGTGCCTATCTTGAGAAAGTCCAGAGTTGTGAGGAATCCCTCAAAGTTGTGTGAAGATGGAACTGGATTTCTTGGGTGCTGTCGGAGAGAGGTGACTTCTGATTCCGTCATGGAAGTGGGACGTGGATTGGCTCTGGATTACTTATTGAACTCAGATGATAGAGGTTTGTCTCAAATTCTAATGTTTCCAGTGCCATAATAGCATAATATTGTGCTTTCATTGCCACTTTCAGTGCTTTAGCTAGTAAAAATTTGTGTCTTGGGGGGGTGAGGGAGGGCTTTTGTTTGTCAGTTTTGTGGATTGTTACTCTCCTTTTTGGGAAGAAACAGTGACCCACGTACAAATGCTGAATAGTAAGATGTTACTTTATCTCACATTTGGAGGAGTAGGATTATTGTAAATCAGATTCTCATTTTTGTTAAACCATGTGATGTTTACGTTCCTTGATTTGTAGAATTAGAGATCGATCAGCCTTGTGAGGCAAGTGAGCTGGAGAAGAGGAAAGCTGCTACTGCTATTAGCAACATTCTCTCAGTCCTAGCTCACTATAGTGAGAGTGAGGTCACTGGTCGATTGGTGTGTGGAAAAGCATGCTGCCTATCTGGAATGGGTCTTGGTGCCTCCATTAATATATCATTTGGTAGAATCAAACAAAGCTTTGTATTGTGAGTTGTTTCAATTTCCAACTATTTGTAACTGTTGCTGCCCAATAACTGTATTCTTTCCCCAGGTTATTGATGTTCTGCTTTCCATTTTTTGGAAACACTTTCTGTTTCCTTGCAGAACTGATCCACACTTACATGACATGCCAATTGTGTATGCCAGTGATGCCTTTCTGAAATTGACAGGTACCTACCAAATATCGGTTAACTTGTTTGTTTGTCTGTCTTAATCAAGCTCAATCCAACCCTGACGAACTTCCACTTGGTAGAAAACTTCAAAACGATGTCTTTAGTCTTCTCATTTTGTTCTTGTATCCATGATTCAATAGGTTATGCACGGCATGAAGTATTGGGGCGTAACTGTAGATTTTTAAGTGGGCTGGACACAGTTTCTGCCACTCAATTTGAGGTAACTTATTCTCCAATTTGGTTTTGTAGTCAATCTTTGTTTTGACTTTGAGGGCTTCAAAATTTTAGTATTCTACATAAAAGGAAAGCAAATGAATGTAACCGCTGGCTAATTGTTCTTTGTCAGATAGCAGAATGCATTCGAAATGAGAGACCATGCACTGTACATATCCTTAATTACAGGTATTTTTAATAATTTACTCATTCTAAGTTAAATAAAAGTGAAAGATCTAGTTGATTAGCAGCTTACTGAATTCATGTTTATAGCTGAATCATCTGTATTGCCATTTTGTTATCAGAAAAGACAAGACTTCATTTTGGAATTTTCTTCACATTTCACCTGTCCGTAATGCTACAGGAAAGGTAATTCTTCGGCATTCAGCAACTGTCTTTTTTTTTTGTCCCCTACTATCACTGGGTAAACTTGCTGATTGTCAATTAAAGAATGTCTTTTGTATCACTGAGCTAGTCCTTGGTAAGAAATTTTGATGTTATACAGTCTGGATATCTGCATTGCTTATGGGATATGGATCTTCCACACGCACCATAAATTTGCCTGTAATACTAAAGCATCAAGACATGACCTTTGCACTGAATATGACACTTAAAGGATTACTTCCCCATCCCACTTTGATAGTCTTGTTTTCCATTTTTATCCATTCCAAATTATAGTCCACTTTCAAATTGAAGAATATGGTTAGCTTTTAACTTCTCTAGAATGCACTTATTTAATGTACTTTGTTATTAGTGAATGAAATCTACCTTATTCATTAATTGCTTTGATTCATGCCTTGAATGATGCAGTTTTTCATCAATATTGTTGTTGCAATTAACGAAAAGGTATAATGGTTAGTTATACTAATAATATTAATGTAAGGGTATTTTATGAAAATAGTAAGCTAGATTCACCCTTCCAATAAAGTTGACTAATTTTTCTTAAACTGTGTGAAGGGGAAAAAAAAAAAAACCAAAACTATCAAAGTGGGACGGAAGGAGTATGATAGTTTTGTTTTTCGTGCAGATACAAGCAAATTCTTGGTTTTTTCTCGGTACCATGATAATCCTCCTCATCTTCTTTGTTTTCTCCTTGGTTTTTCACTTTGTTGTTTCATTTTACCTATTGTATTGTTGCTTTCAGCATAACTCAGTAAGTAGGTTCTATATACTAACAGTTGATCTATGACTCAATGATAAGTGATATTTTCAGTTAAAGGATATGATAATTGTGAAACTCCATCAATTTCTGTCAATAAAGGATTTGAAATATGATAATTGCGATAGTGACAATTGAATTCAGATTTGAAATATGATAATTGCGACAGTAAGCCATTAGATTCAGTATGTCGGGAGTTCAATTACGAATCTACAAAGCGTATATCATTGCAGAAATTTTATTGTTTTTCTATCCATACAGCTTCGCTACCATCAGATACACCCTCCACCAGTGATTTATATTTCCATGAATCTTCTCCTCGTGCTTCCATGTCATATTATTTTATTTTATTTGTTATTCTTTTTTTCCCAGTCTCAGACTAATTTCCTCATTATTGTTATAAAGCTTCATTGGTGTTTAGTTCTTTAATTTGTATCTCTGTAGTGCATATGGAATAAGAAAATACGGTTCAAATTGGAAGGACCTGATTGGATGCAATGGTAGCATTATTACCTGTATGTTTTAGATGCATGTCCTTTATTGCACATTGCACATTTCTTGCTGCTTGAGATAGCTGAAATCATTCTGTAAAGTGTACTCAAGCTTCGTAACTTTTAATGAATCTCCTGATCGATAACATTAAGAGATTTCTTGGACTAATCATTTATAGATAGTAGCATCTCAAATCCTGAATTTAGCTCATTTGTGATGTTCTACTTCTGCAATATTCTCGAAAATTTCGGTGTATATTGCATCTAGTGTAGATCTTACTATGGACTCGCGCACGATGTATTTTGAATTTATTACAAACACTCTCTTACTCCTGTCATCGCATGATCAACATGGACTCTGTAAGCATCTAACGTAGCACGTTCCCTCTTGTTGCTTGATGCCTGCACAGGTAGCATACTTTGTGGGGGTCCAGATAAGTAGTAGTTGCAACAGTCAGGGTAAACAAGGGTTGAGTCCTGCGATGGAGCATCTTAGCGTTGTGGGCGCTGTCAAAGTGGCGGTTAGAAGCTTGTCAATAGGTGCCAGCACCTCCTAGCAGCCCCTAGTTTTTTCTGATTTCATTTTTTGTTATCGTGGATGTTGCTGCCTGAAAAGTCATCGATCAAAGCGGTTTCAGGAGATGTAGATGTTGGGACACATGAGAGGTAGATTGTTGTATAGTTTGGACTTCATTGAACTTTGCATTGTTTCTTAGGCGACTAATGATCTGGAACAGTGCCTTCAAATTTAGTAGCGCGACTCCAGATGATATTGCTTAGAGGTGCTTTGCTTCCCGTGTAAAGTTGTCTTGATGTACAACTCTTGTACTGAGATCTGAACTGGTCATGTAAGAATTTGACAGCGGTGAGTTTTCAAGATATGTGTCACATTTTTATCTGATTGTACTACATCCCACTGTGATTCCAGCTAAATGGATTGGAAATTTGGAACGGCAACTGTCTATAGTCAAGACTCATTTGGGGCAGTGTTTGTGGGACAACAAATTTGATTCATGTGAGGAAATGTGTACGTCTTTAGACTGATTTGATAATCTGTCTGGGTGAAACATGCAAAGCCAGGAAAGTTTACAGCAACCTTTTAGCAGTGTTGATAATCTATATCTGTGTCGGCCTCTTCACATACTCGTTCAAAATATTGATTACGAACTTGCGAGCACGACTAAATTTCCTTCCAAAGAGGCAAATCCACGAACCAATGCAGTCCCATTTCTCCAGCAATAAATATATTTTTGGGCTAGTCTTGATTAACACAATTAAGCCTACTGATGCCCCTGAAGCTAATCTTTGTAAAAGAACTTCCTCATAATTAGGCAGCAAACTTAATCGTGACACCCTTAATCATAGTGATAGCAACCCAAGAAAACGAGTTTGTCTTGGAACTTTAACAGTGACTTAATCCAGCCATTATATACACTCTAACGAGAAACCACCGCTTCTGCTCTAGTAATCTGCTGTCACCTGTCAATTACGAGGCTAGCTCCATCACATTCTCTATCCCCATTTTCCAGTTCTCAGTCCATTTCCCGGCCAGAGTTTAAATTCAATCATGGAATCAACGCTCAATTTTCTTTACCCAAGAGACTAGACTTCCTTTTTCCAATTCAAGAAAACAAGAAAAATGGCCTCACAAAAACACCAGTCATTCATCTTCTTGATCATCATCATGCTCGTTTTCCCTTTTCCCACTTATTCATCAATTTCATCCTCACCATTTCAAGAAAATAATCCACTCCCATTTTTCATTCATCCCTCACTACCTCCTCGGTCTGAATTTGAACCAGAACTTCCTCAAGCGCCGTCGGATTCGGCCAATATTCCTCCATCCTCATCATCCGGGCCCATAAACCCAGGTGGTTTATGGATTCTTTTACAAAAAAGTATAGGCATCTCCGCCATGCACATGCAGCTTCTATACAACAACAAAGTCGTCATCTTCGACCGGACCGACTTCGGCAGGTCCAATATCTCCCTCCCGTTTGGAAGATGCCGGTTCAGCGTCGACGGCAAACTTCGGATCGACTGCACTGCTCATTCAGTCATTTACGACATTGTCACTAACACTTTTCGACCCCTCATGGTCCAAACTGATGTCTGGTGCTCCTCCGCCGCCGTCAACCCAGATGGAGTCCTTGTCCAGACAGGCGGCTACCGCGGCGGTGCCGATAAAATACGGTTGTTCACCCCATGCAACAACGATTTCTGTGATTGGATTGAACTCCCACAGAACTTGACCGTTAGAAGATGGTATGCCTCCAACCAGATTCTCCCCGACGGCAGGATTATCATCGTAGGTGGCCGGAGAGCTTTTAGCTATGAGTTCTTTCCCAAGAACTCGGTGTTTTTCAGCAATGCTGAGGTTTACTGGCTACAATTCTTGAAGGAAACGTCCGACCCGAGAGAGGAGAACAATCTCTACCCGTTCTTGCATCTACTACCAGACGGAAATCTCTTTGTTTTCGCCAACCAGCATTCGGTTATATTGGATTACGTTAATAACAAGATTTTAAGAAAATTTCCCCCGATTCCTGGCGAAAAAAGGTCTTATCCGTCAACGGGCTCGTCGGTGTTGTTGCCACTCCGGTTACCCGGAAGTGGTTCGCGATTGGGGTCGCCGTCGCCGGAGGTGGAGGTGATGATCTGCGGTGGAGCTAATGGCGGTTCGTATATTCAAGCTAGGCTGGGTGTGTACGTGGCAGCTTCTAAGAGTTGTGGGCGGTTGAGGGTCACGGATCCGGATCCTGAATGGGAGATGGAAACAATGCCTATGAATCGGGTCATGCCCGATATGCTGTTGCTACCCACGGGTGATGTGCTTATCTTGAACGGCGCATCAAAAGGATCGGCCGGGTGGGAATTAGCGGATGACCCGGTTTTGCACCCGGTCCTTTACAGACCCAGTGAGATGGATCCGCAACAGAGATTTACTGTGCTCAACCCCACAGTAAACCCAAGGCTCTACCACTCAGCTGCTGTCCTGCTGCCAGACGGAAGAGTTCTAGTAGGTGGAAGTAATCCTCATGCGTTGTACAGGTTTACCGGAGTAAAGTACCCCACAGATTTGACTTTAGAGGCATTTTTGCCACCTTACTTGGGCCCACAATACTCCCAATTGCGGCCTTCAATTTTGACCTTCGAGGGTCCCACGGATAATATCATATCCTACGGTCAGCAGTTCTCCATCACGTTTACTCTCGGTTTGCACCCTCCCGGTCAAGATTTCAGAGTTACTATGATTGCGCCATCTTTTACCACGCATTCTTTTGCAATGAATCAACGGCTGGTGATGTTGGATGTGGTTGGGTACCAGCAGCTGTCTGCATTTGCGTTCAAGGTTACCGTGTGTGCACCTCCAACAAGAAATATTGCACCCCCAGGATACTACATGACGTTTGCTGTTAATGGGGGCATACCATCTACTGGTGTTTGGATAAGAATGAAATGATTATCAGATCAAATTTTGTTCCTATGGCTTTTAGTGAAGAGATTATTTTGGTGCAGTAAACTCTACTCTTTTTATTTTTTATTTTTTATTTTTTATTTTCTTCTTAGCATTAGATAAGAAAAACTTAGTCATGTTATGTAGTGTAACATAAGCTAGCTGTCTCTTAAAAAATTAATTTCCCACTTTCATATAGGAGTACTATCTCAAACTAAGGTCTCGTTTGGATTGCATTTTTCATGAAAAAATTACTGTAGCGATTTGATGTATGTGAGGGAAAAAGGTACCTTCTCTGTCCCACTTTGATAGTTTTGGTTCTTTTTTCACACAATTTAAGAAAAAGTAGTTAATTTTGTTAAAACAATCAATTTAGGTAGCTATTTTATTAAAATATCCTCACATTAATTAAAATATAACTTTATGAGAACTTGAATTGATGATAAAAAATGAATAAATTCTTATTAAATGGGGTAAATTTATAATAACAATAACTTACATTGAACGAGGGTATTAGTGGGCGAAAGCAATCCCACCGGGAGCTATAAATTTGAGGGGGTAAAATATCCTAAACTACATAAAGCGCCGAAGGTGCTGCTACAGTCAACTTGGTTTCAATGCAATTCTGTTGGTGATTTCGTCCTTTTTTGTCTTTTCACAGGTTCCATGCAGCCCCTTTGGCTGCTGGTGGGCTTTTCCTCATTTCTGCTTTTGTTCCCTTCTTCCGATTGTGCCCTTTTCTCCTGGTTCCTTTGTAATTTTGTGGCCAATTTTGTCCTTTTGTTTCTACTGCATCTTCCACTGCTGCAATTGTGTTTGCAATCGATTTTGTCCTTTGTTATCTGACTTTATTAACAAAAATATTAATTTATCGATTTCATTTATTAACTTCCTTCAACAAAAATATAATTCTCACAAATATAATTCTCACAAAAATATAATTAACTTCCTTTCAAAATATAATTCTCACAAAAATCTCAATTTCCTAACTTTGTATTAACGTGTCTTTCTTTAAAATATAATTCCCTCTGCTCTTTTACATTTATTAACTTTCTCCAAAATATATATTTATTAACAAAGATATTAATTTTCTAAAAAATATGCGAATCGATAAAAATTCTGTGTGCATCTAATATATACAGAACAATACAAATTCTATGTGTTACGTTATGCTACTTCATATTAACAGATAATGAGTGTTATTCAAGTCAGCAAATTGTAATTTAAATTTCCCTTACGCATAAGTCCATGTGCTATTCGTTCATTTAAAGTAAGATATTGATTAATCAATAAATAAATTACTTCATCATTAAATAGATATTTATTCATGTATGCTATTCAATCAAGCATTATTAATTTTCGATATCAATGAAGTAACGGACTCTTCGAAATTGTGTTATCTTTAGATTTTGGAATCTTATTAATTTTCAAAAAATTAATGCAAGTATTAAATTTTGTCTGCATCTAATAAATATAAATCAATTGTGCCGCTTTGTATTTGCTTGCATTAATACGACTAATTGTTTTTAAAAATACAGGATAATTTCCCTCTATTTCAAAAATGTTACTTCGATAATATTTCAAAATTTTCAAAATTCAAATATATACCTTTGAAAATCAAAATAAAAAAGACAAACTTTTCTCTAAAACTATAACAAAGATAACCAAACTACCAAAAATTTATAGACAAATACTTAAAACCGCACCCCTATATATATAGCAAAAATATACATGATGCAACTCAAAAAAACATTATCATATTGACACATGAATCACAAGACAAATAGGAACACCACAAATATAACAAACAAACAAAAACTAGAAAAGATAGACACGCTAAAACAATATTAAACAATCGTACAAACTCAAATAAAATATTAAATATACATACACACACGTATATATACATATATAAAGAAATAAATAATAAAAATATAACAAACAAACAAAACCACAAAAAAATTAAACCATCATATCTCCTAAATAAAATATTAAACACACATGCGCATATATATACATATATATATATATATGCACACATATTACAAAATATATCGTATACCTATATATATATTAATACAAAATTCACTACAACTTTGAGTACCATAAAATAAGTCGCATAAACATCAAACAATAAATATTTAAAAATTCTACTATAAATTACAATGATTAAACTCTATAATTTTCATGTGCAATCATTTCTATTTCTTATAAAAAAAAAAATTATACACGTCACCTTACTTTCAATAATATCCATTTATTACTAAACTATTAATATAAAATCTCTTTGCTCTCAAAATTTATATTATCCTTTAACTATTCGGATTCTATTAATTAAAAAAATACAGCTTCCATATATTTCAATCACATTCATTCATAACTAAATCAATATCATCTTTACTTATCGAAAAAACCTACTTAATGAATAAACACATATTTTACCAAGATATAGTATCAAATTATTCCAAATTATTAATTTATCTCATCACACAACACCCAAACTATATCAAATTTGGCCAAAAAAAATATCTATTATCCATTTATTTTTTAACAAACTTCCTATTCTTTTATATCCTTTTTCATAGACTTTTCCACTGCAACAATGCACACTTTCTCATCCTCGCTATCCAAATTATGAAAATATCATCATCCTAAAATACATAAACTACCTATGCCCAAAGTACAATAAATTATAACACTCTCAATGTAATTCTCCACCTAATTTTTCATCCTATGAACTTTAAAAAATTAATATATATTCCATTAATTTAAATAATATTTACTTATCACTAAATTAAAATTAAAAAACAAAATTTTTTGAAACCAATATTATCCATCAAATCTTTAGATCATATTAATGTTAAAAAACACAATACAAATCACATCAATTTTACTATATCTATTTATAAATAAATCAATCCAATATATCACTTCACTATCCACTATTTCAACTCTATTATCATATAAAATACTATAAATTTATGTTATTAAATAAATCTTACATTAGCCTAAGACAGTTAATAATGGGCACCCGCGGAACCGCGGGGCACCAAGCCTAGTCCAACTAATACGAGCCTGGAAGCCTTTTCCCCGCATTACTTGGACCCACAGTTTGATGATGTACGGCCTTCAATTTCTTCCATTGAGGGGGCCCCAGGAAATGTGAATGTGATATCCTACGGCCAGCAGTTGTCTGTGAAGCTTGATCTGAAGCATTTGAATCCTGGTCGAGGGTTTGACGTAACCTTGATTGCACCATCATTTACAACACACTCCTTTGCGATGAATCAACGGCTGTTGGTGTTGGACTGTGCTAGTGTAGAGGAGATTTCAAATGGGGTGTACAATATGACGGTGTATGCGCCACCAACCAAAAACATTGCGCCCCCGGGCTATTATATGATGTTTGTGGTCCATGATGGTATTCCATCTCCTGGAGCCTGGGCCAAATTGGAATAGTAATTGATTTTGTTGTCCGCGTGTCATGCATCTTTTGTGGTTGGAAAGTGTAATTGTGGAGAGCAGCTTTGCAATGGAAGAAGATAATTGGAAAATTTTTCAAGCATTTTTGTCATTTTAATGTTTTGTCCGTGTTGATTTTAATGTTTAAACTCATTAATTATTGTTTCTATCATAGAAGTAATATTATAATAATAGGATGGAAGCACACAGCCAAAAAAGATAAGCTATCATTCAAGCTTTTGACCAATTCAAAATTGGAAATGACTATGGTTTGTCTGTATTCATAATATTGATTATCTAATTGATCCATCTTGTACCAATTGTGGTTGGAGAATTTAATTTGGTGGAAATTAAAATTTCAACCAAAGGAAAAAGCGGAATTAAATCATAGCAGCTAAAACACATCATTAAAAGTAAAAACAGCTTCCATTAAAGCTCTTAACCAATAATTCAAATCGGACAATTATATGCGTTTGCCATCAGAAGGAGACAAAGACGCATTGATTATAAAATCTACGTCTGTTTAGATTTCGTTGTAGTTGGAGAATATATATAAATTTGGTGGAGGACAGCAATTTTGGAAGGACGGAAAATTCATTCAAGCGTTACAGTTTCTTTGCGTGTCATTTTTAAAGATGTTATGAAAATACTAGAAGCCAATGAATAAATAAATGATAAGGGTCTTAAGAAAGCTTTAATCCATTTCACGCGGGGCAAGCCAAAAAAATTTTTTTTTTTTTTGTGATGGAAAAAGATGACAAGAAAAAATTGGTTTAGTGTTTGACATATTAGACCTCATGAAGTGAAACACTACTGATAGTCTCTAAGGAAGTACTACAAGATTAAGTAAGAGCAAATATTGAGAATTATTTTGAATTATTATGGAATAAAATTCAAAATTTATTTCTATATCGATCATTTCTTCTATTTTTAAATTTATTGAATCTATTCTTGATTTTAGAGCAAAGAATAAGCATACAAACTAAATGTTTTGTCTTTGCTTTACATTTAACTCATTAGATTTGGTAATAGATTCATTCACATAGTATCTTGAACAACTGAAAATAAAAACGTTATTATTACCAAATTACTTTAAAAAAAAATCTTTTTTGATTCAAATAAGTTTAAAAACAAAAGAATAAAGAGCTGAAAGTAAGAAATTATCAATCATTCATCTAATGATAGCAAAGGTAGAATTTGTGGGGAAAAAAAATGCGCTTGCATAATTTGCCAGAAAAGCGCCAAACAAAGCAAGAACAAAGGTAAGAGTAAGAACACATGGAGATGCGGGGTATCGATCCCCGTACCTCTCGCATGCTAAGCGAGCGCTCTACCATCTGAGCTACATCCCCATGTTGAGGTTTTTTTTTTATCCATAATAAAACGAGTTCTGCGAGCCACGTGACAAGCTGATTAGCATATTAGGACAAAGTTGCTTGTAGTAAAAATACTCCTAATGCATAGCGTGAAATGCACAAAAAATGCCAACTATCACTTACATTGCATAAGTTCTGAGATTGTGTAAGTTTCCAAGTAGTAAATAG